ACCTTTGTATTCTCTCAATCGTGGACGTTAGCATATGACGGTAGCGAAGCAGTAGCAGCGTCATTAGGTGTTATTGAATTGATTGATTTCTCTCCGGTGACGTCGATAACGGCAGCGGTTCGAGAGAGATCAACAGCACTGTAAGCTTCAGCTGCATTTGCATGCAAGACATCATTAATATTACCAGTGCTAACAACATTTTTATCAGCAAAAACTTTGTCAGCTGTCACTGCTGTACTCTCAGCATTGTTATTACTGAGCTCATCACTAGGATGTTTTGTGTTGTTATTTTGCTTTTCGGCAGTTTGCTTGGTGTTTTTAGCTCTACCTATCTTTCCCTTTTTTATGCTAGCGCTGCAATGTAGTTCCTTGACCTCTGATGTGAGCGAGGTAAGCGCACCAGCAACCACTTCATCATATAGCTTATGTAAATTAATAAGCTCAGAGCGCACAAGTTCTAATTCGCCTAATAACCTGTTTTTGTCAGCCTGCAGAGAGTGTATACCCGCCACTGCACTTGCTGGCTCTATTCGCAAACTTCTCAATTCAGCAAGAATAGATGATAGCAAACAATCTTGCTCTTTATCATTTACATGCTGTTGTTGTTGTTGTTGTACAGCGACAGCATTATGCGAAGACATTTCAACCTCACGATGAGCGACAGCACAATCGCCACAAATATAAATTTCATCGGCATTTTTAAAGTAATTTAAATCAGCAGCCAAAGTGCCAACAACACACTGCAGGTGAAACACCTCCTTACACTTCTCGCACTGCACGCTGGTTTGCGCGCGTTCAACTTTTTGTCCACAGAAGCAAGGCATATTGTTTGTGTAGAATACGAACACAGGCCAAAAATGTCAAAACAAATTGATTATAGTTTTTGTAGTGCACAAATTGTTTTATTATTATTTAGTTATTTATTTATATTTATTTATTTGTTTGATTTAAATGTAATATTTTACTTTCTTTCTTTTGTTGTCACAAAAACAATATTTGTATTGCACAAACTATGAAGTATGATAAAATCGAGAATCAAAATAAACACAGAGCTCGAGTGAAACACGTCCGTACAAGGCAAACACTCTTTTTGATTTTACGTTGAAGATACCCGCGCTGCGACCTAAGAAGATATATTGTACTAAATAAGAATTGTTATTAAAAAGCTCAGCACTTTGGATGAGGCCATGTTCCAAATTTTAGATGGAGAAGGCAATCGTTCTCCAAGGTGTATCAATCTACGATTCATGCTTCGTAGACAGGCACATAGAATATACTCTGGCGTTTCTTTCACCAGCCGACAAACGCTACAGTCCGTCTCTACAAAAATACCCATTTAATTAGAATCGTACGTTAACTTGCAGTGTGCTGTCAGGTAGCCAGTAAGAGTTCTAAGTTCAAGGTGTCTTTTGGAGTTCCTGCTGGAAAGAGTTATGCATATCTTTGATTATCTTATTACCTTTGACTTCCGCCAGTAGGCAGCAATTTGAGATTATTCCCAGCTAGCTCCTGAGTAGGTCTGCAGTGTATCCTTTAGATGTACCACAGAAAGGCTAGGGACCATGCAAACGCATTTGGGCTTCACGCTTTGCGAGACAGTCAGCCCTTTCATTGCCTTCAAACCCTTCATGCGTGACGCTATTGTGGGCTTGCAGGTGGTTCAAAAGTTTACAAGCCTTGATGCCATTTTAAAAGACTCTAAGGCCTTTAACGCTGCCTGAATGTCCGACATAATATTTATTCTGGCCTCATTTGCCTTCTACGATGACATTCGCGAACACAGACTTCGATTGGGAAGACTTCCGCCTGAAATATGGTTGAGTACGAGCCCATTGGCAGACTTTTCTGGAATCTTGGTCCAAGTACGCCATAAATTATATCGCAGATGACAGGTAATACGAAACTACATCGATTTTTCGTCTCTCTTGAAAAATTTCTAAAAATGTTCTTGGCATCTTTTTACCCTTAGGTCACGATATATGGATGTCCGTATTGCATATTGGCAATAATAACGTTTGTACTTAGGAATCAGGTATATTTACATGTTTGTGGCCGCCATTATGCGAACGCACCGGTGAAATATTTGTGTAAAAATGGTTGCTAAAATATTTGGAGATATGTACGTACATATTTTCTATTTTTCGCAAATAACTATTACTCATTGTCCCGAAACCTACCAAAATCCAATCAAGCCTACCAAATGGAAAAAACCTACCAGTTTTGGTAGGAAAAGCCCATGTTTGGCAACACTGCTCCCAATAAACTTAGAGGAAATAATGAAAACATCAAAACATTTTCAGTCCTCACATTGAAGCTAAAGGAGCATAAAGTTTGTATTGTGTTTTCTTGTTTTCGTAGACATTTGAAGAGTAGGGGTGCCGCGAAATTTTTTTAGCACAACAAGGGTGCCGAGGTGAAAAAAGTTTGGGAAACCCTGAACTATACAATGAAATTATATGCGTTACAAAAATCATTTTTTTTGCTTTTCAATAAGGTTTTTAATGAAAAATTGAACATTTAAGCAATTTCTGCGCCTCGCGTGTAGGGTATTTTACATGTATGTTTTATACTTGTTTAAATTCTTGATTTTCAAGTTATGGTTCTATGAATTTGTTTGTTGTTGAAAAGAAAATTTTTGATTATTATTTATTATATATTACAACTTTTGACATAATTATAAACTCCCCTTTTTGAGGTCTTTTATATTTGTTAAAGTTTAAATAATTTGTTTTTCTTATTTTACGGCCTTATAACAATTATATTCAACAAACAAACTTATTGTTGAAAAGCAACAATAATTTGAAACAAGTAAGAAAGTCTAAGTTCGGGCGGAGCCGAACATTAAATACCCGGCGCAAGTATTAAATATATGTTTTTTCACCTTTCCGAAACCTACCGCTAGATGGTAAGCCGGGGTTTATCAATTTTGAGTAAATTAGCGTCCTTAAATTTCGAA